GTAAAGTGTCCTTGAGTGTTTAGAAAGATGCTGTTGAAATAAAATGTATATATATATATACTGTATTTTTTAATGATTTTTTTGTGGATGAAAACCAGATGACAACAAAAAATTTATATTCAGTAAATACTAAAATATGACAAATGTTGATCATCATTTTTGTTTTTCAATTAAAGCCAACAACTAAAACTAACAGTAACCAAAATCCAATCAGAAAATGAGAATGATGGGAGAAACGGACAAAATAACCAGTCAGCAAATGGAACAAACTAGAATAGACGAGATAAGACCCAGTCAGATTCTGGAGTCGGCCGCTGAACATGCTGGCAGTAATAGTTGAACAATTTATGTCTAAAAGTGTTACAGTGGTGGCAGCGAGCGGGAGGGGTAAGTTGGAGCTGAACTCACAGAGTGGTTTATCAGGTTGTTTTATCGTTTTTGTGGCACTGCTACAGCCAATGTTGTCACCATCCAATGTTCTAGCCATGCTTTTGTGTAGAAAAAAAAATCAGGCAGCCCAGCGTAGTAAATTGTTGCAAGAAAAACTCTAATAAATTACCTCCTTGCATTTTTAGAGTCACACCTTTAAATGGTATGACGTCATTTTCTGCCATATATACAAATATTACGGCACATTATACAGATTTGTTTACTTTAATAATGACAGGCACAACTCAAACTTTCAGTGTTCATTTCGGTATTTTCCATTCATCGTTGTTATTAGGGGAGGCTAGGCAGTTTTGGCTAGCTTTTAGCACCACCTAGTGTCTGTTTGTAGAACTGAAACCAAAACATATCTCTTCGTATTTCCTTTACACAAACTGAATTTTATGCATGTGTTTTAGTCGAATAAAATCAGACCCAAACTAAAACAAAATGATCAACTGAATCGTGAATACAATTAAAAAGAATTTTTGTCAAAAGACTCAAACTAAATTAAATTTTCTTGTAACGGAGATGCACATCAAAATAAGCGGATGCTCTCAAACTTGACTAATTAAAGAGCAAGTCAACCCCTACCAGAGTCTAACTCCACTCCCACTTCATGTTTTAAAAATGCAACAAATGCTGTCGCCTGGCAGACCAAGAAGGAGGAGCTGCTAACAAATACACACACACTCAGGCTCACAACAGCATTGTGACATCATAATGTACCAGTTTACATCATAGCATACCTCTTAGCCAATAGCGGTGGCAGATTTAATTTAAAATACAGTGCAGAGTTTTTACCTGACAACGGCACAACACTGCCAGTTTTAGGCAGAATATTTAAATTTTAACTAAGATGCACTGAAGTGCCAAATTATTGACGACAGGTGTCTGCAGCACGATTAGACACTCGTTTATTTAGTTTATCAGCAAAAAAAAGTTTATTTGGGGGTGACTTGCTCTTTAAATTTGGTGTGTGTGATTGGTTTTCACTGAGTTTGAAATTTAGCAGAAGATGGAGGTAGTCAGGAAAATAAACTTCCCTCACCTGGAGTCCACTAGCTGAAGATCCTTTCCTCTCCACCTTTCAGGTTTATCCTCCCGTGCTGAACATGATCCCTTCTCTCCTGCTGAATCCAGTCTAATCCTGATTGGTTGATGCTGCAGACCCAGAGACCCAGCCCCCCTGCTGGGCTAACCCCACCTCTAAATCCTGTTCCAGACCTCTCTGCCCTGGCAGGTTTTAATCCCGGTAGTCTGGCCTGTTTTAGTCCTGATCCCAACATCTCAGCTAGAGCATCTCCCTTTAAGTGAACCAGAGCCATGAGGGACCTATATCACATCTGAAAAAGCCAAATCAACTGTTTGATTCTCCAGCCGTTACGGTTCAAACAGCAGCAGAGAGCTTCATGCACATCAATCAATCAATCAATCAAAGCTTTATTTATAAAGCGCCTTCCGCAACCCTGTCAGGAAGCCCAAAGCGCTGAACATGGTACAGTTGTAAGTAAATATCTTGAAAAAATCAACAATAAAAGAAATTCAAATTACAAAATACAAATTACAAAATACAAAATGGAAATTATAAGATAGATGAAACATTCTGGTAAAGGACAAATGTGTGAAACACATTTGGATTGAGTGGATGGATTGAGTGTCCCAATGAAAACTGTGGAATGGATTCAACATAAAAGAGGGCCATAATCAAACATGTTCTGGAAACGCCAAGCGGAGGAGGTGCGTTTTTAGGTGATTCTTAAAGACTGGCAGAGAAGGGGACAGCCTAACTGAGGGTGGCAACTGGTTCCAGAGTAACGGTGCTAGGACATGATCACATCAAGAAAGTAGAATGTTCAAATGTTCAGGGAGAAGCTGGAGTAGATCCCAGAATAAAAGCACATTGTTTCCCTGGTTCTGTGGCACAACATAGCAGGAAGACTTCTGGAAGCATTCGACAGCAGCAGCAGGAAACATTTGGAGTGAAACTGTCATCAGGAGGTGGCGCGGAGCACCCATTCCTCTCATTTCAGGCACTTCATTAGAGCAGAGTCAACATGCATCAGTCATGGTGTGTGTGTGTGTGTGTGTGTGTGGGGGGGGGTGATTAATTATGGAGGAAGTAGCATGGCTGTCGCCTCACTGATGGACAAACTGCCATGCTTCAATCGTCTGTGCTCCATTCCACCAGCCTGGGAGTGACTTGTACACAAACACTGAGTTCATGTTTTACAACTCAGCCCTCCCTCTTACAGAATAGCTGTGTTGTTCTGGGTTACCTGTGATACGGACCGGGTTTGTGAACATGTGAGAAACCTGAAACCTTTGTGTCTGTTCTGGTTTGGGCAGCAGAAGCTCAACAGGTTGAGCGGGTTGTCCAGTAATCGGAAAGTTGCAGGTTCAATCCCGGCTCTGGACAGAGAATTCTGCTGTTGTGTCCTTGGGCAAGACACTTAACCCACCTTGCCTGCCGGTGGTGGTTGGAGGGACCGGTGGCGCCTGTGCTCGGCAGCCTCGCCTCTGTCAGCGCGCCCCAGGGCAGCTGTGGCTATATCGTAGCTCATCACCATCAGTGTGTTAATGTGTGTGTGAATGGATGAATGATACACTAAAGCGCTTTGGAGTCCTCACTCTGAGAGGCGCTATACAAGTGCGGGTCATTTATCATTTATCATTAATTCTGTCAGGCTGCTACATAACAGACATGGTGTTTTTCACACTGCATATCCAGTATCACACTGGTCTGCTGCAGTGGCAGCCCATCAATAGGGGGCGCTGGGGCGCCACTCCACCAGTCTCACAGGAAAAGTAAGAAGAAGATAGGAATCACAAAACATTTAAAAGTATGTATAGAATTAAAACAAACTAAGTGCAATGTAAAAATCTGCATTAAATTGTAGTTTTAAAATGTTTTCTCACTCTTTCACCATCACCAAAAGGTCATGTGATGTATTTCCTGGTGCACAAATCTTAACCATAGACCTACATTATAACTGGTGCGTGTGTGCTGGAGCCCCCTCCAATAAAAAGAAATGGAGAGCAAGAATTATGCAACCAAAGCGACACGCACTGACCAGAGTCTATGCTCAGATCAGGATGTTCACCTGGAAGCTTTCCAGTCCACCGTTCTCTGTTAGCAGGAGAGCAGCTAAGTAGCCCGTGGAATTTTTTTCATGGAGAAAACTCATTCAACTTTGTCCCTAAAAAGTTTACCATTTCTGAGAACAACACCACAAGAAAAACTTTGTCTTAAAAAGCTTGGGCCCGCCCGGCCAGACATTACAATCAAGCAACATATGCCGCACAGCAAGCCCAGGTGAACTTCAGAGATTAGCTACAGAGGTGAGATAGAAGCTCTTATTTACATTCAGTGATAAAACTACTGTTTGTCCATCCATTCATTTCCGGCTGCTTATCTGGGGTCATGGTCACAAGCAGGAAGGTCCAGACTTCCCTCTCCCCAGCCACTTGGGCCAGCTCCTCCGGGAGAATCCGAAGGCGTTCCCTGGCCAGCCGAGAGATATAGTCCCTTTAGTGTTTCCTGGGTCTTCCCTATGTCTCCTCCTGGTTAGACGTGACTGGAAAACCTCACCAGGGAGGCTTCCAGGAGGCATCCTAACTAGATGCTGAAATCACCCCAACTGGTTCTTCTTGACTTCACTCTTTGCTTCCCGTACCTTTGCCTGAGTCTTGGAGGTTTCCCTGTTTTTTTTAATAAATGACTTACCGTCTTCTTTCCTGGCTGCTTCTTAAAGTCCCATTAGTCGTCACACACACTGATGTATGTGCGAAATTTGTTCTCCGCATTTGACCCATCCCCTGGGGGAGCGGTGAGCAGCAGACACAGCCGCGCTCGGGAACTATTTGGTGGTTTAACCCCCCAATCCAACCCCTTAATGCTGAGTGTCAAGCAGGGAGGCATTGGGTCCCATTTTTTCAAAGTCTTTGGTTTGACCCCACCAGGAATCGAACCCTGATCTCCCAGTCTCAGGGCGGACATTCTACCACTAGGCCACCGAGAAAGGTGGCTTCTTGGCTTTACCTGTGTTTGTGTCCTCACCTCGACACACAACTCTGACAGCCGGTGAGCTGGAAATTACTCCTATGGAGCTGTTCCATCATTTAATTCCAAACTAGTTTTAGTGGATTATTTTTTCACCCGAACCAATAATCACGTTTACAGATCAGCTGACAGCTGTGTCCTCTGTCCACAGCAGGGGTGTTGAAAGGGCTAAAATTGTCAAGTCACTCTCTAGGGCCACAAAAGTGTAATTTTCTAATCCGTATTTTGGGATGTACCAAAATATGAACCCGAAACAGAAGTTTATGTTTGAAATTCCGCCTATATTGAAACACTAGTTGTTTTAAAACCACTTGATCATTTTTTATTATCCAAAAACACCGTAGAAGGAAAGACAAAAGAACATTTATTATATAGCTGCTCCTATCTATGATGTAGTGAATAACGGATTCACTGAAGCAAAGCACTAAATACATCTGACCTATTATTATTATTATTATTATTATTATTATTATTATTGATATGAATATTATTACGTTCTGAGGTTTCTCACCTTTCTTGGTGGTCTGGTCCTGACAGTTTTCGTAAGTGCAGGGTCCCCAGGCGCTCCACGCTGACACCTCACACTCAACAGGACAGCTGATGTGACACAGCTGGGTGGTGTTTGGAGCCACTCCCAAACACAGCTCACTGTCCACCGGCCGCAGTGCTGCAGAAACACACAAACATGAATGGTGTCATCTCTACAACAACAGAACAGCAGCAGCGGCCTCTGGTCCACCGTCCTCTCCGAATCCGCCTGGCCTGACTCTGTGGTTTCAGCTCCAGGTAGGGGTGACTCTCTGCAAGGTCATAGGACTGATGAATTATTCAGCAGCGTTCAGCTTCATTCACATGTAAATACGCTTTATTAGCAGTGCACGGTTTGCTCTTTTGTCACCACGCAGCACATAGAGAAGCGGTTACAATATTCTACATGCAAACACGCACTTGTGCACGCACACACACACACACACACACACACACACACACACACACACACACACACACACACATTCACAGTGGAGCTCTCTACCATATCAAAATCACATAGAAACCTTGACATGTAAAGCACCCTGACATTTATTTGCTACTATGAACATTCATCAGAATCCAACTGAGCTAACGTAGACTCTTATAGTTACACTACTAGTTACTCTAGGAACATCTAGTCACAATTAGCTCTAGCTGCAAATACTTTCTGAACCATGTTCAATGGCATCAGCGTGATAGCAGAAGGGCTCAGTGCTAGCGCTCTCCCACTGGTAGCATAATACAGTTCAAAGGTATTTTTAATGTTTAACCTGCAGCTTATCATCTTATCTTTAACGGTCGCCTCTGGCTAGCTCTAGAATCAAAGGCCACACCAAGATTCCTGACAGACAGTTTGGCGTGAACTTTCCACATGGGGATGGTTGTCCATATTTTCATTATTTCACGCCTGCTGCAACTCCCTTTATTCAAGAGTTAGCCAGGCTGCATCAGCCCAGTATCAGTTTACCCAAAAAGCTGCAGCTAGATTCCTGACAGACACCAGAATGCAAGGGCATAGAAGCCAGTTTTGGCTACTTTTCATTGACTCCTAGTTTGTTTTAGAGTATGTTAGCTGTTTGTCTTTGTTCTTAAGTCCCTGCAGGGCAGTGCTCCAACCTATCAGGTTGGCACAGATGAGGATCTCAGTCTTATCATCAATCAGCTGTAGAAAGTTCCCAGCCAACCAGATGCAAATAGAGTCTGAGCAGGTGTGTAACAGCTGCAGCTTAGACTTCTCATGGGGTTTAAAGAAGATGTACAGCTGGATGTCATCTGCATAAAGATGCTAGGAGATCTTCTTAATAGAGCTCAGGATGTCCTGGAGAGGGAGCATAATAAGGATGAACAATAGAGGTTCCAACACAAAACCGTGTGGGACACCATGGGCAAGTGGCACTGGTACATTTCCTAACGCCCAGCTCACCAAGTTGGCCCACTCAGCGATTGATGATGTAATTTGCTGCTTCCCATACACTACCAGACCCTCCTCCTCACTCAAGATTGCTCCACCACGCATTCAGGAATCTCTATCGAAGAATCTGAACGCACATACATTCAAGCTCTCTCTGCCGCAGAGGCTGAATGTATGTGTGAATGGGTGAAGGACTGTTTGTGTTGTAAAGCACCTTGGGAGGTTGTAGAGTCCAATGCCATCTACCTCCACACTGTTTTCTTCCATCAACTCCTGAATGTGTCCACTCATCACACTCCTTATAGGATCTTTCCGATCCATAATGCCTAACATCTTGTCCTCCCGAAACTAGTTCCGATCTGATCTAACGTTCAGATATGAATGCAGTAGTTTTATATATATTATATATTTTCACTACTTATATAGTAGTGAAAATCTGAACTTAATTTGTTCCTTGGTACCAGGAACAGATCTCGCCCTCTGTGTAAAATTCTCAGTTTACATTAATAATGTAAGAATTGTTGGTGTTCTTGACAGTACCACATAGCGTTCATTTGTCCTCCAACGAGAAGGGCACACGAGGTGGTGTTGAACTGGATCACTTAAAAGATCTGTTGACTCTTTTATTTCAACATGTGGAAGCACTGCCACACCGGCTGAACCGTTGTGTCCGTTTGAATAATGTGTTTCATTAACAACACTTAGTGGACAATGGTTTCTTTGTTCTCGTCTCCTTTGTGTAGACTGAGCAGCTCCTTTAAGATCCAGGAGTGGCTGATTAATGAAAACGTCCACACACTCTGGCCCTGCTCTGATGTCTCGGCGCCAGATGGTGTGTGCTTCTATGTGCTGTGTTTCCAGCCACCAAATCAGGACCCTCAGAGACCGCCTCCCTCTGCTGCCATGTGGGAGCTGCCAGAAATAACTGGACGCACGGATCCTTTCCAGCTGAGGTCTCGCAGCCTCACAGAGGCACAGCTGGTGTACAGCATGTCACAGTTTGATGTTCAGAGGAATTTTCATTGATTGGAGTCAGATAAAAGACAAACACACTCCCACTGGAATGAGGGAATTCACTGTTCTATGGGGTGGAGATTATTTACTGACAAAAACAATGAGATTCACTGCAAACCTCCCTTTGAGATGACTATGGGATGTGAGCAAAATCCCAGGAACTAAAAAAAGAAGGATTTAACCAGATCCAACATGTGACAGGGAGCTATGTGTGTCTTTAGTAATGTGTTACAGAGCAGAGCTGAGAGTGAGCCGGTACTCACCGGTACCCAGCACCACTCAGCAGTTCTCCTTTGCATACCGCCAGTTTGTATAGGGAGCCAACACTTGTCACAGGTACACATCTGACTTATATGCAGTGCAGGGAAGGTTTATCTCTTCTCAAACCAACACATTCTCACTCCCAGCGTGCCTAAAACAAACACTTGGTCAGCCACCCTCCACGTCAGACCCCTGACCCCAAAAGTGCCCTTTTTCGTTACTTATGTGCGAAAAGGGTTTTTTCCCTTATTTGACTGCAGATCCCAATGCAGCGTTACACTGACACGATGGGATGTCCGCAGCCAGGGCACCAAACAAGCTCATTGTACCTCACCCTAACCTTATCCTCTTATTTAACCTTCCCCTCACCCCTATCCTAACCTTAACCATCTTGCTAGCGAACACGTTAGTGATGTGTCGGTCGCTCTAAAAGCCGGCTCTATGAAGTGAACGGCGGGAGCCGCCTCGTCATTGGTCGAGTTTGGACCGAGCCAACGCGAGGGGGAGGTTTCAACTACCAAGGTGGAGGTTAAAAGTAGAGGGTATTTGTAACCTCGCCAGATGGTACGTTCTAACGTTCCCCTTGGGCGGCAAATACGAAAATTGACAGTCAGACTCTGACTGTCAGAGTCAGAATGCATGGGAAACAAACGCTTGATCACAGTGAGAGTAACGTTTTCGGTAGCAAGAGGGTTAAGGTTAGGATGAGGGAGAGGGGAAGGTTATAATTAGTGAAACGTTAATGTTTAGGTGCGGTTAAACGAGCTGGTTCAGTGCCGCATCAGCGGATATCTAATCACGTCAGTTTTACGCTGCATTGGGATCTGCAGTTACAAAAGGGAAAAACCCTTTTCGCACATAAGTGACAAAAAAGGGCACTTTTGGAGTCTGGGGTCTGACGTGGAGGGTGGCTGACCAAGCGTTTGTTTCCTACGCTTAGGGTGTGAGAATGTGTTGCTCAAGCAGAAGATAGAGCATCACTCTTGCTCTCTTGCTAGCTTTGCATCACTGGTGTGGAATAGCCAACAGGGAATCTTCCTCAAACGATTTATAATGACGACGATGATGATGATAGCTGTTTATGCCTGTGTTCCAGTAGAGATTAACATAGTCAACCAGAGGCACGAATGCACCATCACTCTGTTTATATTATGACTTTTTTAGGTTAAGACAGGTCTATGGTCTTCTCAAAACATGTTTACCAAGTGTTTTCATGAGATCCCTCTAACATGCAGACCTTTCAGCAGTTTTGTTCTTAACAGTTTTGGTACCTTCTAGAATCAGTAGGCTGTGGTGTTGCGACGATGATCAGTTAAGTATTAAGGGGCCCAAAAGGTGCCAAGAAAATGTTCCCCACACCATGAGACCACCACCAGCAGCCTGAACCGTTGACACAAGGCAGGATGGATCCATGCTTTCATGTTGATGCCAAATTCTAACCTACCATCTGAATGTTGTAGCAGAGGTCGAGACTCATCAGACAAGAATGGCACCCGGTGTGGTCTTCAGCTGCTGTAGCCCATTTGCCTCAATGTGCAACGTGTTGCTCTTCCACATACCTTGGTTGTAAAGAGTGGTTATTTGAGTTACTGTTGCCTTTCTATCAGCTCGAACCAGTGTGGCCATACTCCTCTGACTTCTTAGCCAGGCCAGCCAGACTAAATAAATATATCATTTAGTCCAGCAATGCTCCATTGACGGTTCTTGGTCATGGGGCAGGTTCTGTTTCAAATGAGCTGTCACCATTCTTCTTGCACTCTGTTGCATCATCCTGTCCACCAGATGGATAAAGGTCCCTGATTGGCCCACAAAGCTGATAGAGCACTGTGATTGGCTCAATCCCCACCATTGTTGAACAATCATAGTGCTCTATTGGTTTGAAACCCCCTATAGAGAGCTGTGATTGGCCAGCAAGAATGTTGCTAGGGGCTGTGGAGGTTCCATTTGAGTGTTAACCAAACTTTGCAAAGCAAAAATTTGGTCTTGTTCACTAGGCTACTGACCTCCGGCATCAACAAGGCATTTCCGCCCACATAACTGCTGCTCACTGGATATTTTCCCTTTTTCAGACTATCCTCTGTAAAGCCTAGAGGTGGTTGTATGTGACAATCCCAAAAGATCAGCAGTTTCTGAAACACTCACACCATCCCGTCTGGCACAACCGTGTCACGTTCAAAGTCACTTAAATCACCTTTCTTCCCCGTTCCGAAGCTCGGTTTGAACTGCAACAGATCGTCTTGACCATGTCTACATGGCTAAATGCGTTGAGCTGCCACCATGTGATTGGCTGATTGGTCACTTGTGTTATTGAACAGTTGGACAGTTGTACTTAATAAAGTGGCCAGTGAGTGCATATTTATCCCTAAAATTAAAAAGACAGTGAGGTTTTTCAAAGGGACCAGGAGAACCAATTTGGACTTGGTTCTGTTTAAACTAAATCCATCACCGTGACAATCACTAGCATGTTCTAGGTGAATGCACTGGTCTGACAGCCCGGTTTGGACACCTCTATAAAATATTAACAAACTGTGAGGTCCGCCTCTGTCAGTAGAATTGGCACAGCATCATGTTGGCACAGAGAGATGGAATCCCGACGCCAGCGAGAATCAGATCTGAATAATCTGAGCAGCAGATGCCCGTTTGAGAAGCCAGATGGAGCCAGACTGGGTGGCTCTGCTCTGGATCAGAGCAGGAAAGCGACCAGGCCACTTTCTGCTCCACACAGCCAGTAACAGACCAGTATAACACACACACACAATTTAACTCCGTATTTATTCTGCTGTCGGGTTGAACACAACCATCTTGACTGATTAAAGTTTCAGGTCATTATTTAGGGCTGAAACACAGGATGCACATTTGATGAATCCTGATATTTATTTTATTTAGCTCATATTTATTATTATTCATGACTGCGTGATGCCCCGTAGTGCTGCTGCATGTTGGAACAAATATGTCACCCACGGTTTCAACCCCGGATCAGTTCTAACCTTCTGGCTGAGAGAAAACATTACTCTTTTATGGAGACATGTTGTGTTCATCTTCAGTTAGTTTTACAGTACGAGTCAGCATAGAGACATAACTAATAAATAGCCAGTAAACCCACCTCAGATGCTCAGATGCTGAGCTAGACCGAATAACCAGAAGAAGAATGGCCTTCTGGGAGATTTACCTTCTTTACTCCTGATGGAGCCGAGTTTGGGCGGAGCATCAGCACCAGCCTGGACACAGTAGACCTCCCGAGTCTGGATCCCTCCTCCGCACAACCCTGTATGGTTTCCACGGCGGCGATCCTGCTGGCTCAGCAGCACATCCACCCTGCACTCGGTCCACTCGGTGGTCTTCCAGCTGTAGCTGATGATGGCAGAAATTAAAAAAAACAGAAACTCAAAGTGTTCATCCGAACCTCTGAAGGGTCCAATGAAATTCACACTATCTAGACCTTCTGGACACTGATGTTCTGCTCAGAAGGAACAACTTAATATTAAGTTTCAGGTTCCATCATTTAAGTCCAGACCAGTCTTAGTGGATTATTTTTTTCATCTGAACCAATAATCACGTTTACAGATCAGCTGACAGCTGCGTCCTCTGTCCACAGCAGGGGTGTTGAAAGGGCTAAAATTGTCAAGTCACTCTCCAGGGCCACAAAAGTGTAATTTTCTGATTTTTAATGAAAACAAACATGATTTTAAGTAGATTGTTTTCATGTGTGCACCTAAAAATAGATGCAAACAGGCCTAATAGTGTCTGTATGATGAAAGCAAGCCTAGGAAACCGGTTCTTGCCTCTAAACGGGTTTGTTTTAGGCTTAGCCCTTACCCTGATGGAAACCAGTGTGAGACTTACACAGTGCATGGTGGGACTGCATCTCCAAGAGGGCTGCAGGGCTCTCTCTCCTCTAAAACTGGACAGTCCGCTCCTCCACCAATGGAAAACTGGCTGACTTTCCTGGTACGGGCACGCTCCCCAGTGGGTCCGTTTGGGTCGTAGCAGTCTTTGGAACAGGCGGACCACGGGGACCACTCGGTCACATCGCAGTCTTTTGGAACCACGCAGGCCTGGAAGGTGATCGGTAGCATCTCCTGGGAGCACAGACTGCACACACACACACACACACACACACACACACACACACACACACACACACACACACACACACCAACACACACTGGGAGTTTAGTTCGGCTCCATTAACAGCTTACCGGTTTCACTTGTTCACCTGATTTATTCATGAGTGTGGTGTTCAATGACACCGTGTAATTGTGGAGATGTTTTCCTTTCTGCTTCTGATTGTTTTTCTTTTATAGGTTGTGCTTCAAAGCCTGTTTGAGTAAAAATCCTAACAACCCAACGTATATCTATTCTTATATTTATTTATTTCGTGTTGATGATTACATCTGAAAACTAACGTATTAAAGTAAAGAAATAAACATTTGAAATATGTCATTGATAAATGAATCTAATATTGAAGTTTGACTTTTTCAAAGGAATTACTGAAATAAATCTACTTTGTCGTGATAATCTCGTGTTATGGCTCCTGCTGCTCACATCATTTTGGTCTCCTGTTATCACCGGAACCCCTTCCTTTCTCCACATCACCCCTGTTCTTCAGTAGTTAAATACTGGAGCATGTCCCTATCACCCTTTGCTAGCCTGTGGGACATAAATTTAACTGGTTTCCAGTTAAATTTAGATCCACCTTCAAGATCCTCCTCGACACATTCAAAGAAATACAAAATCTTTCTCCTCCTTACTTACCAGACCTCATTAATATTGCCACCCCATCATGCTTACTCTTCTTCTCTCCACCTAGTTGCCCCTCCTACACGCCTCACTACCATCTTTGGAATGCACTCCCCCCAGACATCAGAAGCATTGAAACCTTTTCACACCCAGACTCAAGACTCATCTGTTCAAAACTGCTTATGACTTGTGACTTGTTTGATTTGTTTTTATGACTGTTTGATTCGTTTAAATCTGGCATTCTACTGGATTTTATTGTGTTTTATCTTGTAAAGTGACCTTGGGTGTTTTGAAAGGTGCTTTAAAATAAAACGTACGATTATTATTATTATTATTATTATTATTATTATTATTATTATTAATGTTATTACTATTATTATTATTAATAATGTTATTATACTTATTAATATGGTTATTAATATTTCTTCTTATTTTAAAATGACAAATGGTTTATTATTTATTATTATTGTTATTATTATTATTATTATCATTATTATTATTATTGTTATTATTAATGTTATTATTATTAATATGGTTATTAATATTTCTTCTTATTTTAAAAGAACAAATGGTTTATTATTTATTATTATTATTATTGTTATTATTATTATTAATGGTATTATAATTATTAATATGTTATTAATATTTCTTCTTATTTTAAAATAACAAATGTTTTGTTATTATTATTATTATTATTATTATTATTATTATTATTATTATTATTATTATTATCATTTAAAAATATCATATTGTTCTTAATAAATTCAACTCACAAATGCCTTTATCACTTTTCTTCAGAGCATGAAATAGACACACGCGTAACTAAAACTAGAACTTAAGAATGTTTTGTGACTTCCCCTGGAAGATAAAACTTTGTGCACCACTGCTGTGAACATGAATAGATTTTCTCTGAATCTCAACCGGCTCCAGCCACAAGATGAGGTTTATGTGGAAATGGCAGATTTTTATTAGTTCAGCTGGATGTGGAGGAACAAACCTCTGTTATCTATCTGGTAAAGCCTTGAAGCTTCCGGCTCACAGTGGACCTCCACCCCAGACCCATCTGGGTCAAAAACCATTTCACGCGCATTCATCATCTCACACACGCTTCATGTTTCTGCATCATGATTGCCTTTTAGTGGGATCTATTTGATTGTTTTAAGTCAGAAGAACTTGTGGTTCTGGATTTAATCTGACCTGATTTCCACTTGATAAAGTTCAGATTTTTTTTTCTGATTAAGTTATTAAATCGTATTTATTTCTGACATCTTAATATAAAAAAATAACCATTTAAATCATGGCTGTATCATAAATCTAAGAGTTCCACAGGAAGCCAGAAGAGGTAAGAGCACACACACGTGATGGCAGCTCTAGGGTGTGTCTGTTCAGCGAGTCCTTCCAGTATGTATGGAGTAAATAAACCCAGAGAATTAGACTCTGGGATTATACCGGGTCTGAGTTAAAACATGAAACTACAAATCCCATAAAAATAAACGACCTAGTGTAGATAAGTTGATACTGTGCTATTTCTAACGTAATGCATCCAACACTCCGTGCTAAGCCTCTTTAAAGCTTCCAGCCATCTGTGCTGCAGATCCGCGGCTCCTTCCTCTCAGACGCTGTGACCTGTGACATCACAGGAGCGCCGCTTGCTCGGTAACTCGTTGATGCTGCTCAGTGGACTCGTTTAGACTACAGCGAGCACCCGCAGACAGAATAAGGCCAGCTCTCTGACATCACATGAATGTGACTTCATGTGTAGAGACATTGGATGTGGTGGGATGGGTCCAGTTATACCTGCTATTAACCATCCTTACATTAAACAAGTGGGTTTAGGACTTTCTGCTCAATAATCCCAATTAGGATTATGACAGATTATGTCTGACAAATGTAGAAATCATCAATCACAAGTTACCACCAGAATGTTTTAGGGTGGCCATACGTCCGGCTTTAAGACGGACAGTCCGGTTTTAAAAAAGAGTGTCCGCCTACCAGCACACCCTTGAGACGGCCACCCATTTGTCCTCCTTTTGACATAACTCTGTTTTCCATTTTATATGAAAATTTAAAAAAAAAATGAATAGAACAGGCATTCATAATAAAATATAGCCTATTTAAGTCTATAATGCAATTGTAAATTCTAAAAGATGTTTTTGTGACATTAATAGATGTAGCTGGTGTGAAATCAATTCTATTGGTTAACAGTGAAAGTAAACAGCCGCCATACTGAGGTGGCTGATCTCGGTCAGGCGCAGGCCAACCAAAAGGGAACCTGCAGTTCTGCACTCGGCAGACATCAAAACGCCTCAATGAAAGACTACATTTAATCCCGAATGGACAAAGGAATATGGATTCATCGCCAAAAGTAGGAAAGATGACTGTCGTGCACATGGACGTAATTTTGGGGGGAGACGGGGGGACATGTCCCCCCCACTTTTTCCAAAGTCAAGTTGTGACCCCTGCACTTTTTACCATACAAAAACAATATTACGCTATATTAAATTGACACTGGTTGAGCTCTAGGACCAAGCAGAAAACAACCATTTGTGTTGAAGCCTGTTTCCAACACACTGTAAAGACCCCCCCCCCCCCCCCCCCATGTCCCCCTCACTTCTAAAGTGAAAATTACATCCATGGTCGTGCATATTGTACACTTTGTCGTTGTGATGTGGACATAAGCAGCAAAGGGAGAGGCGCGCTTGATTGACATGCTAGCACCAAAAAGGTCATGAGCATCAATCAAAGCGCGGGGATGTCTTCTCTTCTTTCCTTCTTCCGTGAAGCCACATCTCCCCAGGATGACAAAATGTCTGCGGCAGAACTTTGTAAAGTTTATCACGCCGTCAAGCATCACCAGTCATACAGGAGTGTAGGCTGTGGAATAAAAGTTGTCCAAGAAGTCTACAGCAATTAAGCAGTAGCTAAAGGGGTAACGTGTGGAAAAACTAAAGCTAAAGCTTTGTGTGAAAATGTCCTAGCACCCTATTCCATCCAGGCGCATGTGGATTACATAAAAGAAAACAAACTGCATTATTCACTGGTGACTGGTGCATCAAACAAAGGCACGACCAAATGCTTCCCAATAGTCCTCAGATGATTTCACTTTGAAGAGGGCGTGCAGAACACTCTGCTTGATTTCTACAGTGATAGTAATGAGACGTTGGAAGCTATAACAAATCAGCTGCTGGCCAAACTCGAGATGTCTGGTCTTCATTTACAAAAACTGTCCACTTATACAGCAGACAACGCCAGCGTTAACTATGGAAAACACATCAGAAGCTAAAATTAGCTCTAAATGATGTGCTTGCTGCAAACTGTTTAGCACGCATCTTGTACAATGCCACAAGAGATGCAGCTGGCAACTTGGATCTGGACATTGAAAACATTGTATTGAAGGTCTATAGCCATTTTAGCATCTCAGCCAGTAGAACAGCGCAACGTAGGGAGTTTTGTGAGTTTGTGGAAGTGGACGAGTGCAACCTGCTGCGTCATGTCGTCACAAGGTGGCTGGCTCTGCTGCCATCTATCGACCGAATGCTGAAGTATTGGAAGCCCCTGATGAGTTATTTCCAGAGCTTTGGTGAGTAAGAATGCCTCAAGATTTTGTGGAAGTTCTTTGCAGAGGACAGAACTGTCTGAGATGTACTTCCTCTTCCTCAGTCACATTCTGAAGGTTTTTTTGGACTCCATTGAAGCACTTGAGGCCAAATCATTCAGGGGACACACCGGCCGCCGAAGCACCGGGAGGTGAAGCGCTCACGAAATTCGGCCGCTGCTCGCTGCTCCTCAGTTCAGACCAGACGCTTGTTTCTCCGCTCCGGTTGAGGCGCGCCTCGTAGTTTTTCTTTTAACCACTTGGTGTCCTCCATTTCCTCTCTGCCTTTACTCTGCTCTCTTCCTCTACACCCCCCTCCCCCTTGCTGTTTGTGTGTGTGTTTGTACGTGTGTGTGTGTGTGAACCTATGGTGTGAACCAGTTGTTAATAGCTGGCCTACGACTTTCTGCCTCTGTCCTGTTTGCTCCGGTTGAGACATCTAAAACCACACCCCTTCACGTGGTCTCACACACACAAGTTCGCTGTGTGTGTGTGTGTGTGTGTGTGTGTGTGTGTGTGTGTGTGTGTGTGTGTGTGTGTGTGTGTGTGTGTGTGTGTGTGTGTGTGTGTGTGTGTGTGTGTGTGTGTGTGTGTGTGTGTGTGTTGGTGTGGTTTATATGCAGTGTATGCGGAATAGTATTTTGAAATGCTTTATTTTGTTAAATTTACTGGCCTGCCTCTTATGTCTAGGTTTGATTTCCTGCCAGAATTGACGCGGTTCACCCAAGCCCCCACAATGCGGGACAGAAATTGAGGC